TTGTTCCCCATGAAATAAAGCTCAAATAATAAACTCAGATTTCCCTGAGCCCAGAAGCATCATGTACACCTGAAAGCTAGGGAATTATAAAAATTTTTTTTAAAAAGCACCAAATGCTGTGTATCAAAGAGGTATAAGATTCCAGGGAATGTTTCTAGAACTTCGAGACTAAGCTGGCCAGAGTCCCAACACCTGGGCAGGTGAGCTCTAAGAGGTGCGAGCCCGAGGTACAGCAGCAAAGGGACCCAAGGAACAGATAAGAGCGGAGAAGGCGGTGGGAGGGAGGAATTACCTTAGGGAGATTTCTGGCCCAGGTAGCCATGGTAACCAGGGACCAACTAGTGGACCGGCTCACTCAATAGGCAGCATCACCAAATTTCCAAAAGATGAGAGAAAGGACGTGGGATAAACTGCATTGCTTGGAGGCCGAACACAAAAGGGGGCTGTCATCGGTGAGAGCCAGGCGCAGATGACGGCCATCAGGAAAGGAAGAGCGCAGGGAGCGTCTTCTTTGCTGACCTCCCGAAGGCCGGATGCAGTGGGGTTACTCCATAAACACAGCGAGCCTCTGGCGTCTCTCACCCCATCTCCTCCGAGTCCCACCATCTCAGCTAACAGCACCTCGGAGTCAGTGATGCAGCAGGATCAGAAGGTAAAGAAAACGGCCTCTCCTCTCGAGGCGCTTACGTAACCAGCCCTCGAGCCGCGGAAAAACCAAACGGCAAGAACAGAGCAAGAAAGCCCGTGAATCATATTTAACCCTAGTGACTGTGACTACGGAGGGATATCTGAGTATACAGTCCAGGATGGAAGCGGAGAGTCAATGATTCGTCTCGTGGAGGCCCGAGGGGAACAGAGGGCAACATTCAACCTGAACGTGGTACTGAACTCCATGCTGGTTCATAAAACACCGAACTTCAGTGTGGAGAGAGCGACGTTGCCAGAAGCTCGACCAGGCATCGGGCCCTCGTCCGAAAGGCTGCTTCTCTGTTTGTACGCATGGGTAAAGCGTGAGACAACCAACCACTAGACTTTTACTGGAAAATACAATTGGCGGAGACTGGTGATGTTAAGTCAGCAACTCTAGACAGGCCTGGAATTCCCCACGGCCATCAGCCCTGACGAGGGCTTGCAGCCCAGCGCCCAGCCTGTCTGCCTACTCTCTGAGCCTCGGCAGCCTCTGTTTCTTCCAGCGGCATGAAAGGGACCCAGCTGTACCTCCGCTGGTACCGACAGATGTCTCGAGCAAGGAAGAAATAAAGGCAACTCAATTTCATCCTTCTCCAAAACTGTTTTACCCAGGGCAGAGCCTATATCGTGGCTGCAGATAATATATCGAAGGCTGCCTGGATTCCTCCTTTGAAAAGCAAGACCTGTGGAAATTCAACAACTCAAGTTTATTAATTCTAAACAACTAGTATCGAAAACAGAAGGCTAAGTGGGGCCCTAAAACATGAATTTGCTCACTGTACTGCCCCACCGTGATAGCTACTGTTCGGGCTTAGCCAGCAAGAGATTTCAAACGTGGGAAATTAGTGAAATGCATTCCATTTAGAGTTAGGTGGAGAACAATGATCGAGAAGCCCAGGCAGGGATACTTGTTTCTGACAGATGGCAAGGAATGGAATCTGTTTATCTCAAAGATCATCTGGCCCGCTGGTACCAAGTACCACCCGGCTATCTATCGCGAACAATACTTTGTCCTATATGGCTGGACTCTGGGCTGGAGTTCAAAGTCTTTCCCACTTTACTGGCTTATCTAAGAGCTCTGCGGGCTGGGAGAGAGATGGACTTGAAATTCTGTGGAAACCCAGATGCCCCCATGGAAAGATCCCTGAAAATAGCCGAGCCACCCCGAGAGCCGGCTGGAACCAGGCTGTTCCCCCGCAATTGGCACCTTGTTTTATAAGATCCTTTGAACTTGCATTTCCATCGCTGGCTCTTTTTTTTTCATTATGTACCAGGTCCTCCCGCCTCCAGCCTCTCCCCGTCCCCGCCTCAAGGCAAACTCCTTATCTGGCTCTCACCATGTTAGTCTCTAAAAACTCGTTCAAGACACAAACTCCAGACTCCTGGCTCAGGTTTTGAGGCTCAGCATAACCCAGCCCAATGTCAGTCTCCCTAACTCCTCAGCAGACGCCACTCCGGCCCGTGTGTGTTTGTCACGCTCAGCCTGCCCTCTGCTCAGGCCCCATGCTCTGTCCGAAATACCATCCGCACTCTGGTTACTTATTCATAGTAGGTCCTAAGCAAACATTTTTTCCAAGTGAATGAATTCAAGGCCTACCCATTTTCAAGGCTCAGTTCAAATATCAGATTATCTCCAAATTCTTTCCTGACCGCCACGGTCTGAAGGTATCGCTTCATCCTCTGAATCTCAAGTGTCATTTACAGAATCGGTAAGTTATACTTAGTGCCTACGATGGGGCAGGTACTGAAGCTCCAAGCACCAGCCAAAAGCACCTTTTATGAGTTCTCATTTGATCTCATTGGTCCATTTTACAAGAAAAGAGTCTGAAAAGTTGGTTTCCCATAGTTATTTAGAGAAGCAGCAGAACCTGGATTCAAACCCAGCTGAGTCTAGGCTCCTCCCACCATCTCCCCAGCCTCCCTGTTCTGTAAGCTGGGAAGAGGAAGGCATCCAGACAAAAGAAATAGTGAGTTCAGGAATGGGGAATGGTTCCAAATGCCTAGAAAACAGGTATATGTTGAAAGGAAGGTCAGCCTAGACTGTAAAGGGCCTTAGACTCGGTCCTGCAGATTACAGAGGCGCTTCAGTGTTTATGTTGTGTGAGGCTTGGAGCACGCCCTCCCTAGCTGCCATCCAGTGGGCTAGGGGCTGCCTTTCCTGCTTATCAAAACCCCTTGCCACAGCCTGGGCTCCTCCTTCCCTCCCTGGGATCGTGCCCCTCACAAAGCTGTCTGAAGATCATCAGAATAGTAGCACTTCAGGTGTGCTAGACCCGAGCTCATTCCCCCACCTGCTCCTCGCAACACTAGGAACTAGGTTCTGCGATGCCCACCTGACCGAGGAGGAAACAGGTTTAGAGGAAGAACATGTCTGCTCCAGATGCAGGCCTGCCGTCCCAACACCCTGCTCTTAAACATTTAACCATGACACCCACCGGGCAAAGAGATGGGAGAAATCTGGGCATGGGTCCCTCGTGAAGGACCAAGGAGAGGAGTTGCTGAGATCTTGAGGAAAATATGTCTAGCTCGAACTTGCTGATCTCATCAAATTCCTATGCAACAGATGTGAAAGTCATGTGAACCAGAGATGCCCATTCCCACATGATCAGACTTGGACCTCGGAAGACCTGAGAGTCTCGGACTTCTTCAGCCTCTTAGAGCAGCTTATCGAACACGCCAATTCTCTGCCTGCAGCTCCTTCTCTGCCACTAACTTGCACTTACGCAAATACCTAAGCATCTACTCTCTGCCAGGTGTTCTAGGAGCTGGGATGACAGCAGGTAACACCAAGGATGAAATCCCTGCTCTCTTGAAACTAAACTTCTGGCAAAGGCGGCATATGCAAAGTAAATGATTTCTGACAACAGAGGCTATGAATGAGGAGATACAGTGAGGGGGGTTGGGGGTGGAGAGGGGAGGCTCATTTTAAAAGCCTTTCCTGGGGAGGTAGCATTTGAATTCATATCCAAGTGACAAGGAGCCAGCCTTCAAAACTCTAAGATCCATTACACTTGGTGGGCTGAATAGAACGATTGCGATCATCTAGTCTCAACTCTAGATGGGTAAATAGAGGCTGGATGAGATCAAAAGACGGGACGAGGTCTCCCAACTGACCGCAAGGCTGTTTCTCCCGCTATCCGCCTTGGATGCGGCATTTGAAATGTAGCGCCTTTGTTTCCTACTCAAACACGTAGTTGTCATTTTCAGGACAGGCTTCAGCAAAAGGCTTTAACAGATGAAGTGGAGGCTACAGCTGGCTAACGGACTTGTCTAACAGCCTGCCACCAACAACTGAGTCAAACCTCCAGGTTCCTTCTGCTGGACGAGAAGCATCCATCTAGCCAGGGGTCCGTGAGCACAAGACATCATCGCTAGCAACTTACGGTGCAAAGAACAAGCAAAAGAGTCAAAGGTAGGAACGATTTACTTAGTCATAACACACAAACTCAAAGTCCCCGAGTTATTTGCCGCAGGAAGGGACATGTGACTCCAGGCGACTGGAGTACCGTGACCTGAGCCCATCAGCCTCCGTGACTTCGGGATCCCGGAATGAGAACGTTCTGGGGCAGCCCCGCCACAGGGCCTGGGACTGCGGAGGGATGTGTCCTCACCGAGCCAGCCGCTCAGGGGTTCCCCTTAGCCGAGGAGTCCTTACATGAAAGGGACCCCTCCGCTTAGGAAGGAAGCGGCTGGTGGTGCAGGAGAATCACCTGGGTGAGTGCCACAGCAAGGCTCCCCCGGACCCACACAAGACTCAAACAACCCGACGCTCCAAATGGTAGAGCCGGGAGATCTAATCTACCTCTTCAGATCCAGCCGGCGTAGCAATCACTGTGTCTCCCCCTTTCCCAGTGGTCTATAACAGGATGAAAAGAGGAAGGATGCCCGTGTTCATGATCCGGTGGGAAAGTTTCGTTGAATCCTCCAAGAGAAGCTCTAACCCCCAGAGCCCTGCGTAGTGAGAAGGCGGGGCACCTCCCCTGTGACCCACGAGGTCTGTCTGCGGCCTCAGTCCCCTGGCTGCACCTCAAAGCCCCAGGCAACCCTGGGAAAGCTGCTCCTGCGGATCAGTCCACGGATCCCGCTTTGCGAAGCAGACCCTTACCTGCAAGACGCGGGCCAGCGCGAGCAGAGAGAACCTTGGAGTCGTCCATCCCCCCCACACACCCCAAAGGGGCCTGGCTCCTTCCCCACGGGCCTCTCTGCTGCTCTGGACGGCCAGCGGCGGCTCAGGAAAGGAGCGAGGAGAGTGGAGGAGGTGGTGTGGGCCGGGCAGCCGGCCCGCAGCGGCCGCGAGAGTCGGCTCTTACCTGGACCCGCAGAGGAGCCGCCGGGCGCTCTCGGAATGCACTCTCTGCCGGCAGCTGGTGCCTCGAGCTCACTGGACTTTGAACGAAGATTGATTTAAAAGCTGATGTATTTAACAGGGACGCATGGTTGGAGTTCAAGTAACCTCTGACCTGCTTCCTACCAACAGGCTGGGCTCCAAGCTGGGCAAACCCAAAAAGCCCTCGGCAGACCCCACGCTGGCCCAGCCGCACAGTGCCCACCCCCCCACAGAAAGGGGGAAGGACAGCCAGGGAGGTGGCAGCTCTGCCCCTCGGTTCTCTCCCTTCGCCAGATGCCTTGGTCACACTCAACTAACACCCGACACCTTCGGAGCCTCCCCTGTCTCCGATCCAAGGTCAGGGCTGAAGGTCGCCTGAGCATCCTCACACACTGAGGTCTTCCTGGGGAGCAGTAATCTGTGCCACCCCCAGCAGCAGAAGAGCAGGAGGCCAGTGAGCCCCGTGAAGGGAGCAGAGTCCTCACGGGCCACGCTCCCTCCCGCCCGTGGGAGCCGAGCACAGAGCCGGGCTCTGTCGCCCAGGCCCCCGGCTCTCCGTGCCCTCCCGCTCCCGCTCACCTGTCTCTGTTCTCAAGTGCCTTCCCCTTCCTCACCTAGAGCCTCTCTGGCAAGCGTGGCCGGGTAAGTGAAAGGCGCTTCCACGAGCCACCTGGGCAGTGTGGGGGTGCCCCACTCTCGGCCGAGCCCCGGCCAGGACCACAGCAGATCCAGATCCCTATCAGCAGCACCCACACAGGCGGGCAGAGCGGCCGGCTTCTCGCTGACCTGAATCCTCGGCCCACACTGGGAATCGGGGCAAGAGATTGCTCCGGGCAGTGAGGCAAAGCCAGCCAGGGCTGAGGAGGGGGTGGCTCCCCTCCTCCACCCACGCTGGGCTGGCTGCTGGTCTTCACTAGGCCTTGGCTGCCCCCCACAAAGGCGTGGCCCAAGCAAGGGGGTTGATGGTTGAAAATGCTAAACCCCTAAGCAACTAACTCGACTTGAGTCATCCCCACCTTGACGCTATAAATCTTCCGAAGTGGAAGAGGAGAATGGGAACACCTGGGTTGAAAGTCAGAACACCTGGGCTCAAATTCCGACTCCGCCACTCCCCACGTGTTCGATCCACAGCGCTTTATGTTTAACTCTGAGGCTCGCCTACCCCTTCACCATCTGTAAACAGCCGTTATTTATATTGTTTTCAGAAATTTACTTTTTATAGAGAGTCAAAGTTTCTCCCACAGGTTCTGATGGCTCCGTCTGAGCTGCATGAAGTTCACTCTTTACCTACACAGCAGCCCTTCAAATACCGGAAGGCGGATTTGTCCCCGACGAGCCTCGTTCCCTAAGATGGTCCACCTATGCCACGACGTCAAGACTGCTCGCCCTGGACGCCAGCCGATTCGTCAACGTCCCTCTTAAAATCAAGCACCTAAAGGGGAAACTTTTTCTTACCTTTGCTTTGAATTTTTTGGGGTTTTTTTTTTTGTTATCATGCCCTGGGAAACTTTAAAGTGAGAACTGTTCTATATCTTGAGTGTGGGGGTGGCTAAGTTATTGTCTCTAATTAGCAAATTTCACCAAACTGTACCCCTAAAATAGGTGAATTATCCTGCATGTAAATAAGATTATAATTTTTAAACTAAGTAGCCTAAGTCAGTAAAATTTATTCTCGAGACTTCTAAAATAAGAAAAAGAGAGAAAAAAGCCTGCAGTGGAGCTTACACGTCACTCCCAGTAGAGATACTTCTCAGACCCAACCTCCGTCCCAGCTCAGATGGTATAAACAGCCACAAGCCTCCAGACTGGAAATAGAAGAGTCCTTGAAATTCAGAAACGGCGTTGGTTCCATATTAAATACAAATCAGCAATTTTTTAAAATGACAAAACCCTTTCCCGGCGGAATGTTGAATTGAGTGAGATTTGCCCCCACTAAAATTTGGATTTAAAAAACAAATCTCATGCCTATAAGTGGATCTGACCTGACTAATGCGACACAGGGTAAGTCTTTTTATAGATTACTTAGATCTGGACATTCATGAGAAGGGAAAATAAGCCTACCTGTTATGTGCCTGGTAAGCTTTTATATCCATTATTCTGTTTGACCCTCAGCGTGATCCTACAAGACGACTTCTCCATTTTACTGATGGGAAAGCTTAAATTCATCTGGTTAGTCATGCTGCCCGAGATCATCTTGCTCAGAAGGATCAAGGAGCCTGTCTGTCCCCTCAGGTAACGCTGTTTTGCCCACCATCCAGGGAAGAAAGGTGCCCTCCTCTCTTGAGGTACTCGAGCAGAGGCTGATGATCTGTGTCGCCTTCCAGAAAGATGTCCTGCCTTGTTAGGGAGACTGGAGGAGGTGGTTTTGTCTGGGTGCCTTCCAGCTCTGAGATTCCATGACCCTCAGTGCCGTGGGTCCTCAGGCACCCTGCGTGAGGGTGTGAGTGAGGTACAGGTCCTGGTGCATGTGTAGGAGGCACCTGGATAAGAGCCATGAGTTTTGGCATCAAACAGACGTTGCGTTGAATCCTAAACCTGCCAATAATCGTTCTGTAGTTTTTTATTGTGAGCTCAAGTTTGTCTAGGCTTTATCTCTGGGAACCCTGGGCAGCTTGTGGGGAGATTTTTCTTTTGTTTCTGTTAGGCAGCACCTCTCCGTACCCCCACAACAATGAAGAAAGGCGCTAACGACCTGCCTCAGTGTTTCTCGATCATGCAAATAATTAATGTCGGTTACAAGCCAGCCCTGTTGAAGGGCAAATTGTGGCTGGGAATTTGCAGGAGAGAATTCTTTTTTTTCTTCCCAGAGTCCAGGACATCATAGATGGTTTCCTCATTATTTCTGGTCCGTTTTCCCCATTCTGTTTTTTTCATAAACATATCCTCTTTTACCATACTGATATGTTATGTTTATTCACTATTTTCTGTCTCTCCCCCACCAAAATGTCAGTTCCTCGGAGATCTGTATTTGTTTTGTCACTGGGTCCTAAGTGCCTGGAATATAAGCCTAGCATATAGCAAGCTTTAGAAAATGTGATTGAACCGTGTGAAAAAAACGAGTCTCCTTTTGCCCACAGGACTGGTTTTCAGCCCACCATTTCACTGAGAATGTAGCCTTCTGAGGGTCTCAGCTTATGCAGGGCCTCGATTCCCGGGTCTCGTCCCCTGTCCCAAAGTGACACTGGAAAAACAAACTGCTTGGTCACTGGTTTCAGCTTTCACTTCCCTTCTGGGTCTTAGAGGTCTCCTTCCTTTCTTCCAAGTTCAGCTGCCTATTTGAAAAAATGTTCGATGTATTTTACCGAGTATTTCTATGAACTTTGTAGAAGGAGGATTTTCAGGTTATCTAGGCTGCCACGTTTGCAGAAATGGTTCTACCGTTTCACGGTTACTTTGTCTCTCGAAGCTCCAGCTTTTTCTTCTATGTAATAACAGATAATACCAACAAGCTTGTAAGATTTCTTGGAGCCTTAAGTAGGAAGACATTTTACACCACCCAGAACCCGGTAAACGCTCAGTACATAATCACGTGACTAACGTTTTTGCAAAAGTCCTCTTAATTTATGAGCACACATTGTACAGACAGGCTCATAGTGCAGTGGGCAGTTCGGGAGGTCAGAATGTTTGGGGCGTTATGGTGGCGTTCCTGCCCACTCACGACACAGAGTTGTGTGCAAGTGATCAGAAACTGGATCGTTTTTCCAGAGAACTGGAAAAACTCCCAATATTTTCCCTACCATGTCACCCAGAAAAATTGATGATAGTTGCATAGTTCAGTAGAGCAAACAGCTGAAGCAACCTGCCTAAGGCCAGCTGCCCCAGGCTCTGCTCAGACCTCCACAGATTGAGGAAATCAACACTTCCGCCAACTTTTGAGAACAACAAAACATCATTGAGAGCAACTAAAGAAAACTTAACTAAATGGAAGTTATACCATAGCCACAGATCGAAACTTGAACGCTGTAAAGATGCCAGTCAGTTCTCTCCAAATTGATCCACAGAGTAATATATTGCTAATCAAATTTCCCACAGGGTATTGTTGTTGTTGTTGTTATTTGTTTGGTTTTTGGTGGAATTTGACAAGCCAATGTTGAGTAATAAGAATAAGGAAGGATAAAATAGTATTGAATGACAACTCTAATTGAAAATTTTTTTAAAAGAATAAAGAAGGAGTTGCTCTACTGGGTAATAAGACAGGACAGTGGCAGTGATTGCTAATGTGACAGAGGCATAAGACAGACGAAAGGACCGATGAAATAGACTAAAAAGCCCCACGCCAGACCCGTTTGAGTAGAACAGTGAGTTTATGACAAAGAACAGAGGGAAAGGCTGGTCCTTTTCGATAAATTGTTCTGGTACACTCCCTTTTCGTCTGTTTTACTCAATCCAGTATGACATGTGTGTGAGTCATGCGTGTTGCCGTGTGCAGTTGTCATTCATTTGTTTTCATTCTGCGACTCCATTTATATAATGTCCGAATACCAGGTGGTAGTTTGAGTGATGCCTGCTGCGTAACACACTGTCCCCACTTCTGGAATGCTGGCAAGATTCTGGGACTTGAGCTGAGTGGTGGCTACACAGGTGTTTCTAATTGAGCTATGCATTTTAGCTTGATGCGCTTTTCTGCATGTATATTATATCTGACAATTAATGAGGTCAAACAGTACGTTACGTGATATACATATAGCAGACTGGGGCAAACAGAAGCAGCTCTGTGGCCTCCCTGGGGGTTCCAGCTGTCGTCAGCCCTGCCCGGCTTATTCACAATTGCAAGGGATCAATATCTTGGCACTGGCATACGATTCCTTGGTCAAGAACCATTGATCTCTCCATCTCGATTTGTGTGTGTGTGTGTGTGTGTGTGTGTGTGTGTGTGTGTGCGCGCGCGCTAAAATTGATCATTTTAACCATTTCCGAGTCCACGGTTCGGGGGCGTTAAGTGCATTCACGTCATTGTACACCATCAGCGCCATCATCTCCAGAACTTTTTCATCTTCCCAATGGGAAACTCCGTCCGCATCGAGCCACCGCCGCCCATTTTC